TAAACAATCAAAAATAAAAGAACATTACGGAAAGGAGTAAACAAAGAAGACTCTTACATCAGCCACTGATATATCAGCTTGTAGGCGATTGCTCCTTTCATTGGCAATAGGTCCAGAACAACCTCTTCCTTTTCAGTCAAGCTTAGCAAGCTAAAACTATTGATAAGAATGCCAATATGAAGAACCACCCTCTCCATTATCCTTTTATTTTTGATTGTTTAGTCTGATGGAAGGGCCTATTTTTTGCTTTTAACAGATTTGGGATACTTTGGGGGACAATAACTTTCTTAAAAGTAGTATAAAATGGAATACCAGCCTATACCCTCCTTTCACTGAGGACTTTTATCAAGGACTTTATAGGATATGACTAGGCTGTGCCTGAGGGAGGGGTCAAACACATCATCAGTCTCGAGTCCCTTCATGCCCACAAGAGATCTATCATAAGTCCAGCCCACCTTGAATTCCATTGACTCTTATCTACTGCCTATTTGCTTTAACCATTAATAGCTGAGATTTTTGTAGAGAGATTCATTACCTAGGATTTCTCCATTTGTTTGAGTGGCATCACCCATTCAGAAAATCAGAGTCAGTTAGATGAATTCTGCATAACAACTCTGTGCTCGACAGGAAAAATAATATGGAACATCGTACAATATCTTCAAATAGCTATGGTAGGAATTTTCATCTTGAAAGATCAGAGTTTTTTTCCCCCATGCTCAGTCTTAAATCTTTGCTAATAGAAATTTTACTGAATTTTAATAAGAAATCAAAGGGTTATTGGCAATTTTCCAATGTTTTTGTTCTTTGTACTAAAGATAGCATCCTGGTCCAGACGTATTTTTCTTGTGGATCAATAATGTGTTTTCCTTTCATATTATGAGAAATGGCTGGGTTGCAGAATTAGGAAGTAGGGGAGGAGGAAGTTAAAGTCATTTTGCCTACATGCAACATAACTAACACAAAAAAGAAAAGATACACAAAGAAGATGATTCAAATACGTGTGAGACAGTGTTGTGGAATGTTATCTATGAGAAGTTATTAGTGAACCGAATGTGATTTCATAGTTAAATTTTAGCTGAGAAGAGGTCAAATATAGTTACCGTAGGCAACCTTTCATAACATCGTGACAGCTAAAGCGATAGCATGTCCAGCTGTGGAAGTGGACTCTGAGAAAGAGAGTAAAAAATAGACATTTTTCAAATTAAGGATTTGGAGGTAGTCCATGGACTACAAGACAATCAATCAATCAACCCTGGATCATTGCTCCTTCATAACAGCTATCAACAAAAAGAATCTCACATATTGTACTTTGAGAAAGATATGAGCAGAACACAAGATTAGGAAAAAATAATTGTACTTGGCAAGACTGAGAGAACCACTGTAGAATGGCAATGGCTAGCAAATAGATTGGATCAAATAGAAAATATATGAATTCCTAATTAAAACAGGTCAGAATAGCATGTGTGTATAAAATCATCATATGTAAAAACACTTTTATGTAAAACATGACTCAATGAAACAATTGAAGAAGCTCCTTGGATAAGAAGCAAAACATCTTCAAGGTAAAGCAAGGTCCAATTACCTTTTGGAAAAGCACCTTTGGGACAACCATGATCTGGGTGACTGAGAATTTCCATAGAGACTCAGTAGAACCTAAGGAATTGGCACTTCTAACTCATTAAGATGTTCCGGGAAGAAAGGCAAGCATGGTACTTTTCTGCCTTCTGCAGCAGCAAACTCCAGACTTTAAGAGACTATTAAAACATGGATCATCCATGGGACTAGTGGGAGTTGGGGTGGACTGTTGGTTGCTATCTTTGCTGCTGGTGGTGAATTCCACTCCTTTTTGTTAAAGAGGTTTTCAACCAAATATAAACAGTACAAAGTTTAAGTTAATGTAAGAAGGCTCAAGAAAAAAGAAATTAAAAAAGAAATAAATAGAAAAATAGAAAACATTTTTTCTATGTGACGAAGGAAAAAGTTAACAAAGAAGTGGCTTCTGATCTTAAGATAAATAAAGTTGAGTTCCTTTTTTCAGCAAAAAGATGACAAGGGAATTCATTTTAGTGGTTTGAATGTCAGATTGTCAGAGTAGTTGGGTGATCTAGCAAATTAATACATTGTTAATGTACTTGTATTGCTTTTTAAAAGACAAAAAAGGAAAAAATACAAAGATAATTATGATAAGAGTAGATACATTGTCCAAGAAAAGAAACAAAATGCATACAATATGCTTTTAAAAAACCTGAAAATTACAACAAAGGAAAAGAGGAAAAATATCATTTTAAAAGTAGTTACAATTCTATATGTGTGTATATAATAGTAATAGTATTTAGTTATATACCGCTTCCCTCTCTAAGCAGTTTTACAGAGTCAGCATATTGCCCCCAACAATTTGGGTCCTCATGGATGAATTATACTTTTAACCTTTTTTGCAGCTTTCTTATGTATATTTCATAAATCTTCATATTGTAACTCCACACTTAGCAACACTAATTATGACACTATGCTACTAAAATTAAAATAAAAAATATTTTGGATTTAAAAGATTATTCATGCTTTAAAAAAAACATTGCTTTATGCATTCAAACGCTCAATATTATAAATGAACATTCTTCCTCCTGAAAGGAAAGATGAATAAAGATTGCAATATAATGGACAGTTCAAAATGAACTTAAGATTTTGACTTCAATGGACCTTTCTCATACTCTTAAGTTGGTTTTCAAGAAATACATCATTAACCAAGTTTCAAAATTAATATCAAATCAGCTGAGATGATCTGGGCTCTAAAGCTAAGAAACATCAGGCCTGGGTACTATGATGACGGAATTGGCCCACCAGGGTTCTAGGTTAGATTGGGAAGTTTAAAACACATCCTCAAGAAAACTGGCAAGCCAGTTCTGTTTTGTTGCCCAAAGAAATCCCCCAGTTTGGATGTTGATTAAGCCACAAGATATGAGCTCAACTCAGGAGAAGCTTGCTGCCTGATAGGTTTTTATAAAGTCTGAAAACTTTGGTTGAATACCTATCTTTAAAAAAAAAAAAAAAAANTCAATCTTTCCTTCTTTCTTTCTTTCCTTCCTTCTTCCTTCCTTCTTTCCTTCCTTCCTTCCTTCCTTCCTTCCTTCCTCCCCCCACACACACACACACAAAATCACATGCACACACAGAAACACACTTTCCCCCCTGTTATATCTTCCAAGAACCTTTTTGCATTTCACCACCACCAATTGTGGTCAGTTGAAACTTGATCCCAAAGGAGAGAACTTTTTGCCAGGGGATCGAAAGCAGCTCTGCCGTTTCCACCCACGAGCTACCGTAACTGTCAATGTAGGAGAAAACAGGTGGCTTTCCATCCACGCCGTCGACTTGCAGAGCCGGGCACTTACTTCCCTGTGTGTGAGAATGCTTCGAAAGCCACAAATCCGGGAGGCAAAGAGGGGAAGGAACCGCGCCAAGCCAAGCCCGACGTCGAGCAAAGAGCGGAGAGGAGGAAGCGAAGAGAGGCACCTGAGCGCAGCCAAGTCCCCGAAGCCTCTTTTACCTCGGGAGAGCTCGGCCGCCCTTCTTTCTTCCCCGCCGCCTACCACGGGTTCAAACTGTGGGCACCATGTGCTCTCCTCCCCAGGGGCGACCGAGGTTTCGGGGTGGTGCCGGAGCCGTGGCTGCCCCAGCCAAGCGCCCTCATGGTTCCCAAACTTGAAGCGAAGGGCGACAGGGAAGGCGTGGCGGTTCCCGGCCGCGGGTTTCTGCTCCCGGAATGCTGGACTCCCCCCCCCCCCGCTCTGTCCGCCGTTGCCAAGGCAACGTACCTGGCTCGGGGGCAAGGTGTATGTGTGGGGAGGGCGGGTTGCAACCTGGAGGCCCTGCCAGGGACCTCCCGGGAGAGAAGATTGCGCGGGGTCGGGGCTGATCCCCGAGCAAGGGAGAGAAAGGAGAATGATGGCACCTGCAGGGGGGGTGCAGGACAAGAGGGCCAAAGGGCACCATTGATATCCTGGCCTAAGCAGGGGGAGCTCCCAAGTACCCGTTGGGAGTCGCCTGCAGCCTGGGGAGATTCAGTGGGGGAGATTCTTGCAAGCAAAAAATGGCAGTTGGGACTCCCTGAGTGGATGGGGTTCCAAACTGCTTTGTCTGTTTTGCTGCTTGCTTTTCGGCTGCCATTGAAACGGGGAGGGAGGACATGGTATTTGTATTGTATTTGTATTGTATTTGT